ATTTATTTCATTTTGAATCGAGGTAGATATTTTTTAATAATCCTGACGAAAGTGCAGACATTTCGTCGATCGGGTTCAATGTTCTGATTCTAATGAGAAGCTGTAGAAAAAAAAAACAGTAGCATTTAAAGTAAAGTATTATAATGTCGGACCAACAATGCAACCGGCAACATTTTCGATTACCAATTTCTCAAAATTTTTCAAATTTATTTCCAGATTATAAAATTTCAACACGCAATTAGAGAAGTAAACTCAAGTACAATATTGTACATTGATATTTCGTTTGGAGGACATAATCGTGAGGCGGAATTTTCTGGTTTAGGGTAGAAAAATGCAAATTATTTGACGATGCTGACGAGGAATCGAAGAGGAAGTAAAAATCAGTACTATTTTTCTCCTACTTTTCATTCGACAATCTTCACTAAAGTTTTGTATTACCCATGCTTTACGAGAATCATCTACTTCAGTGACTACTATGATTGTAATATCGCTATTCATATACTGTATCAGCTGAAAAACACGGAATTTTACAGATTACTGCTGACCTTTGTGACATTGAGTAGACTTTTTTTTAGCGCTTTCCCCCAATTTCTTGCGTGAAGGAAAGTTTTTTTCTTCTTTCTAATCAGCAGCTACGTTGTTGTGAAATATTGTTCTCGCTACCGCATTGTAAGCCATAACTGATAAGCCGATGCTTTGTTTTTGTATCGATGAAATGCTCGGGATGGAAAACAAGCTGAAACGATGCGACGTGGTGTATATATATATATATATACTTTAAAGTCAAGGAAAACATGCGTCTCGAGTCTCGATGAGAGCAACTAAGTGAGAAAAGAATTCGCAGGACAGTTTTAGAGTATTTTTCAAAATAGTTTCCCCATTATATGAATTTTCTTCATTGAAAAAAAGGCGGAAATTGTTGAAGAAGAAGGGTCGTCTAGGCAAACATTCTTCCAGTTCTTATGAAAGGATACTCGAGTTTTTTTTTTGCGAGCAAAAAAATCAGGGGCTGAGAAAAATTTTGCTTCAACGAAGACCTGATCTTTCAAAACAAAGCGGATTCCCAATCGATTTTCCTCGGGAATTTCCAGAAAGTTGAGAAATGATAGCTGGTAAACTTTAAGTGAAAAAGGATACTCCGTTTATTTTTCAAGAGGAGAGAGAGAAAATAAGAGCATGGTCGTTTCTTCAACTGATTTTCTTCTGAAGAAATCTGACTAAATAAACATTGAAAAAGTGTTCCAAACCTCTTCGACTGCCGATCTTTTCTTTTTTTTAACGCTTATTTTCCCTAATCTTCGCATTGTTCCTCGGAAAAGCACATAGAAAAAAATTTTAACGTGATTTCTTTCAACGATGGACACATTTCAAAATCTTGGGAGCTTTTTGACGCCGTAAAACCAAAGTAGCGCAGGAATAAGAATTTTATTCAATGAAAACGGGGTTCGAAGTGGTGTGATCATAAAAGTATACAACCGCGAACTGATTTTTAAAATTTTTGAGCACAATGGCTCAACCATGATATTTTAAAAACGAAGACGGAACGAAAAAAATTCGCTTCGAAAGATCTTCAACCGCTGTTTGTTATTGACTCGAAGTAGAGTAATTTAAAATATCTGACTTTTTGGGTAAAAATCTTTAGAATAACTGCGGGGTAAAAACTAGCTTTGAAAAAGCCCTTCAAGATCTAAAAACAAATTCCCTGATGTTACGAGCATCGGAAATTTTCAAAATGGCCGAAATAAAAAAAGCTGCATTTGATTTCATGAGAAGACCATTTCAAACAGGACACTTACTCTTTTCTTGTCAAGTTCCAAGGGATATTCGGAAAAGTATTTTTCTTTAACATTTTCGGTAATAAAGGGAGTACCTCGCAATTCGATCTTCCGCAATTCGACGGTCGAATTTACAGGGAGGCTGACTTGCAATTCAACCCTTGTCCCGCAATTCGACCTGCTTTCGCCAATTTTTTTGCGTGTTTGTACTGATATTTTTTTTTATTTAACGAAGTGTCTCGCAATTCGACCCTAGTTTGGCCGCGGATTAGGGTCGAATTGCGAGGTGACACCTTCATCAGCTCTGGTCATTGTCTATATTTTTTTTAAACTGTATTGAGCAATATTTTGCTTGTGACAACACATGGGGAGAGTTACTCTATTTCATTGTTCTTGATTTACCTGGGGAATTATTGGACTTGAGCATATACCAGCTCCCATCAACAATTTCCACGATATGATAAATACTGTAGCAGTGGTGCGATGAAGTACCACTGATTGAAAAACCCAGGTCACCAATTTTACCGTACACAAGCAAATTCGAGAAAAATAAATAAATAACCACAAGTGGTGGTATGTGTCAGATCATTATTATTTTGAGCACTATATATGTCGATGAGGTAACTGGATCCCTTTCGTACGGGTTACAGATGCATACCTGACGTGTTGCAGTCGGCAGAGAGGGCGCATTGGCGCAGCTCTAGGTTGCCATTGGCCTTGACCCGGCTGCTGGCCCGACTGCTGGCCACCAGTGCGTTGTCTCGGTGCACCAGCAAGTAGTCGTGGTCGTAGTGGGTGCAGCGTGTCGCCTTGTCGGCTCTGGCAGGCTGGCGCTGCACGGGGCACCCGTGGCGCCGGATCTTGGTGAACCGGTGGCGCATGGGGTGGTGCTTGGGCATGGCATCGCACGGATTCGCCATCCAGCACAAGCTCAGGGTTACAAGTGCGAACAGGAAAAACGGCCAATGCCTGCATACGACGATAGAAATATGAGAGAGAGAGGAGAAAATAAAAAGAAAGAAGCACACACGCACACAGTGATGCTCGTCAAGTAATTATCCAAACAAGGGAATCAATAAATCGGAGACGGGCCAAATTGTATCGCGTTGTGATTAAATCAAATAAAATAAACTGCCGTCAGACTTCGAAAAAAAGTATGTCGAAAAAAAGTACTGAACAGGTCTTGGTGCTGCTATCTCACTTTTCAGAGAATTATTCAAATCTAAAACTCATACCTTGATACACATTCGTATGAAATCGCATGATCTCATCCATTAAAGCACTGCTCGACATACTGATCCACTTAAATTGAGCCTTCAAACGAGGTTATTATTTTTTTTAAGGAGGCCTTTATCGTAAAAAGGTTATCTCATCCTTTTTTTTAAATCACGGACCCATTTTTGGTTGCCTTCTAATACGAGTCGAAATCAAGTTTCAAAATACAGACGACAATTGGACAAGAAAATCAAAGTTCAAACTATGAATTGTTGAGGGGGGTTTTTCCTTCAATTTCCATCACGTATAAGAAGGGTTAGTTTGTGAATGTCTCAAACTTGTCATGTTTTATTGTCTACGGTATTTCAACTGTGAACCCTCGGATTGCTAGAACATTTGTATGTTTATTTTCCGAATTCCTCGCCGAACTTATACGAGGACCTCAGAGGATTTTATCGATCATGTAACTTGTATCCCATAATTGGAAAAAATATTTGGATTTCGTCGTCAGGCGGGTTAAGAGAGATTCTAGATGATGGTAAACAATTAATTGATTCAAATTTTTATTTAATACACAATTAAATTTGAAAAAAGAGGGAAGATGCTATTTTATAAAGATCTCATCGATTCTGTACCATGCTTGCATTAATCCCAACACTTGATGCATCAAATAAATTGTTTAATTTTTTTAATTTGTTCGTTAAATATTGTTTTTGCGGAAACTTATTTGACGTTGATGAAAGGAGCTTGCTATGATAGAGCTCGCTTCTTCAGCACTGCCAATTTTTGCTTTTAGTAAGCTGAAGAGTTAGTTTATTATTTGAAAGCACTCAATAAATGTTCGAGGGGTGTCCTTAATTGTGTTCTAGTTTTAATGAGGTTTGGTTGAGCTTCTCAAACAAAATTGGAATGAAACAGAAATCCATTGAATTACACAGTACAGTACTTGATTGAACTTAGAGAGAATGCATGCTCTTCAGGAAATTGAGAAAATTCCAGTCACCTTTATTTTGAGGATCACTACGTCACTAATAAGCGCAATAATTGACATTCGGCACTCCGAAAACTATTACTCCTTTTGGCTCCATGAAATTGCCAATCCCGTCACTCAAAATTTTCTCGATCTGAATTTTGTATTTACCATGTGTACAAAGCAAGATTAGCAATAATCATGACAACCATTGATGCGACTTTTTTGCCGTCCTGTAGCAACCATTTTCTCACGAAAAAAACTTCCCTACATCGATAAGATGAGAGAAAATAAACAATGTTTTCTGATCAAAATTCTTTGAGACAATCATTTCAACATACACATTTGATCCTTGAAATTTTTTTTTAATTGTCAAGAGGAAGAAAATTAAGGATGTAGCACCAGCTCATTTTCTTGACATTCATGTTCAATTATTCGTAAGTATGAGGCGCATTTTCCGGTCACTCCAGTAATTATTCAACTTGCGTAATCCCATGTAAAATTCGGCGAACAAATTCCCTTTCCATGGATTTATCATGTTTTAGAATACACCAATATAATTATCATTTTCGTACTCGTAAGCCACTCCAATAAAAATATTCAAATCGCCATGATCACAGTATTCTTAATCTTAAATCCATCCACAAGTCTCGTATTTCCTCTTAATTACAGAGTACAGAACTCGAAAACGAGAAAAATATGATGGTTGAAAAATATTGCCGCAGATTAAAAATTACTTGTGAAATTTCTTTCGTGATAAAATCGATTATCCTGGATTTAATTGCAAATTATATAAATTCAAGCAGACAACAAGGAAAAAATCCCCTGAATACGCTTCATTTCCTTCAGATCGACTCGTATTACTTATGGAAATTCATTCAAACTTAGAAGCATCAGAAATTTAGAAAAAAAGGTTGTCCGAAATGAAAATACTGTACGTCAGATAACGGCATTTGATTTCATGAGAAGCAAAACAATTTCAAATAGGAGACTGATTATTTTCTTGTCAAGTTCTGGGGCATTCAGAGAAATAATTTTATTCATCAATTTTCGGTAATATCAGCTCAGGTCATTGTTGGAATTATTTTTTCAACACCAATATTTTCGACACTTCTGAATACGCGCGCAACGTTTGATTTTCCAATGGAATTCGAGGAAAACTAGTCAAAAGTCTGGATAAATCGAGGTTCCATTCAAATTCAAAGAGGGAAATTAAAAAAAAAATACTCACTTGGTCTTGTTAATTGTATGCATATGTTCCTATGCTCCTGGCATATGAGCCACAGGTACTGATGATGGGCATGCCTGTGTGCTGGGATTGCGTCGAGCACTACTATCGTCTTTGATGAGGAATCGCCGATTTCCTTTAAAAAATGTTCCCCCTTTTTCTTTTCGCTTTCTCTCACTTTTATCACACAGGACTCAACTTCTTGACTATGATGTCAAAAAGTAACACTTCCCAGATTGTCCACCCCCCGGTTGCAGGGATGGTGGGAGGGGTAGTAAAATTGATTGCGCCGAACACAAGCCAATTGACCCTACAAAGTAATACTCAGGTCTCCAAATTTCTTTTCCTGGGTTCCGAGACGCGTCGAGTCACACGGAAAAAAGACAGCTAAGCTATAGCTAATGGTTTTTTGCAAGAATAGAAAAAAAGAGCCACGCTGTTTGGAAAATGTCGATGGAAAAACCTCAGAGGACCGATCGTGAGAAATTAGCTGCAAAAAAACGTTGCGTTTTCACCAAATCTCAGCCAAAATTTCCGTGGACATGCTTCAAAATTTTACTCATGATTTTAGACAGAATCGCATATGTCATTTGAAATCATATTAGGAAATCTAAAAGCTGACACAGATTTTCAAACTTTTAAATACTGTATGGCATAAAACAAACAAACATGCTCTTGAGGAATGAAATGCCTCAAGAAACAGGAAAAAAATATGCAGCATAACACATCAGCTGACATCACTGGATTTTTTAGAAAATCTATTTCAGCTTTTGATGAATTACTTTTTGTAAGATTTTCTTTTTTCAACCTGAAAAAATTCTGAAACACAATTTTTAGGTCCTATGATTTTGGTTTTTTTTTTCAACACGAAAAATCAATCATTCTTACATGAATAAGACAACAAAAGACGGGAAATTTTTGCCTCGCTTGGATTAATATCTACTTGAAAAAGTATTTTAAAAAACAAGCTTTAAATTAAAATTGTATCCAATTAGCTTGCAAAGTGATTAATCTTGTGACACCTTTTCAAGAGACTTTCAACGAAAATTGACGTAAACTTAAAATCTCCACAAGATTTTCTTAGTTATTTTTTACCCCAAATCAGGAAATTTAAGTAATGTACATCACTGTGAAATTCGATAAAGAAGCGTTTAATATTTTTTAAAGAAATGTTTAATATTTTCTTGAGATTGTCTTAATGATTAAAAGAACGGGGCCAATTAATGAAAAGAATTGTTTCATTTCAGTTCCTGCAACATTTTCACTTTCCATTTCCGCTGTAATTCACAATCCAGTGTCCAGTAGTTTTTTAGTCCTAAAACACTGCCACTTTCCATTTTAAACACTTCTACCATTGGATTGTTTTGCAACATCCTCCCGTAGACCACGCAAAATCAGAAAAGAAACTGGATCACGCACACTGTCACACACAATCATCGTCAGTTTGAAACACTTGACTAATTTCGACAGGACATTCTTGACGACTTCAGAAACACCACTGATGTAGGACACTTTGCAATCCAACCTCGCAGTGAACCCAGGTCTGTTCCCGGTGCCTGACACCCGAAGACTGGACATGTCGTGCGCAGGCATGCGCTGGTTGGGTCCCGCGCCGGGTTGCGCGCGAACATCGGCGCGCGCAACATCGGCCATGCAGGCTAATCTACCACAGCAGTTCATCTAAACATACAGGTTATTTAATTATGAAATTCATCATCAACGGCACAGTATCTAAGAAAAAAGGGGGAGAATATTAAACCCTGATGTCATCTCAATGACGACAATTCGTCCAGCGCTTCGGAAGGGGAATGGTCCGGTACATCTCTTTTAAATATACGAGCGCGCGATGATGATGAAGCACTCTGGAGCTGTGCTCGGAAAATGTGACTTTTTTTTTTAGCAAATCGCTTCATGATCCTCTTCGTATGAATCACATTTCATTTTTTCAAATCGGAGAAATATGGGACGGAATATTTAATTTAAAAAAGGGGGGATGGGACTCACCCTAAATGCCTGTTTGCCGCGGGTTCGATGAGGCCTTTTGCGAGGACACAAATACTCGGTGCGGTTGTTCCGCCACTGCCCAAACCGCACAAGAAGCACCTTCANCCTTTTGCGAGGACACAAATACTCGGTGCGGTTGTTCCGCCACTGCCCAAACCGCACAAGAAGCACCTTCAGCGGCCTTTCCGAACCCACTTCTTCCGCTTTCGTGCAATCCGGGGCATTCTCGTGAAACTGCCACGTTTCCACAAACCACGTAACAGAGCGCCAATCTGAAGGAGCGAGGAAAACACGAAAACAATTCACATATTTCTCCGTCATCCGGATATTTTTAAACCCCGAAAAAAGCTCGTAAAAATACGGAAATTATTTCCGGAGTGCTGAGGAGCTGCGCGTCTTGTTGTTTCGAATGCCAATAAAATCAATCACTGTACTATATTATAATCACCAAAAATTGACGGGGACTGGCTAAATGTTTTATAAGAGCTTATCCATTCCCTTCCCTGAATTCTTTACGTACGGTTAGAACCCATCCGAGGTCAATTATTCACGTGCAAGATTGGGCATAGATGATAAATAAATAATCAAATATCGGGAACTTAGAACTAATATACCGTTGTGCTACGCGAATTATTAAGCCTTTATCAGAGAGAAATAATGATTCAGGTAAACCTCGATAACTCGAAACGAAAGCGAAGGAAAATGATCTGATTCGAATGAAGACGAAGCAAAAAGTTCGGGAAATTCTTTCCGGCTAAACAAAGCTTGCAAAAACTTCAGCATAGTGTGCGGAAATATAGAACCAAGGTGAGAAGAACTTTGACACAAACGCAATGCGCCTTCAAATTTTAATTAATTTCACAGTCAATGTTCACAATGATATACGCAAATCCTGGCAGGTTTGCATATTACAATATTCATTTGAAAGAAGAGGTCGAAAATCCCTGCCTCCGTAACCGGAATTTACTTCGACTTATTTCAGAGGCCTATTAATGGCCAAACATGGAAGATCCATCACCATAATCAACCGAACTGTCTGAAAGAAGCACCGAAAAAATTGACATTTCTGCATAAAGGGATTAGCAATGAGCTTATGAAGTAAACGTTACTTCCTGCATGAAACAAGTTCGTACTACTATGTGTCATAATTCAATTGAGGTCTTTAAAAATCTTGGAAATTTGGTTTAAGGCCTTCGCCATAAAAGATAATTCTAAAGAATGGCTTCGCAACTCATACAAATTGAAAACATCTAATTTATTCCAAAGTAATCTAGTTTCCAGCATTTTTTTTTCTTCAAAATACAGTAATGCCCCATTCGAGGTTGAAATTTTCACATTGAAATTAAAAATAGCATTAAAGAACAATGTCAGAATAGCTATGGTATCTCTGCAAAAATAATTTGAATCATAATCTTCCGGAGGGAAAAATAGCGTGTACTGTAACTGTACTTCACTTAATTCTTTGATCCATTGATTTTAACAATCGTGGAGGAATATTTTCATAAAAATCTACCCTCATCTCCATGTTATGATTTCAAATGTTTGCTTCATCTTTCTCAGTTCAAAATGAACTGCTATTTGACATCCATCTCCCTTTTTTTCCTTGCGTTATAGAATGTACATGGAAACTCGAACGAGAAGAAAAAAGAGATGCTGGAAAACAAAAGCGGAAAGGAGAAATCCTTCCCAATATGGAATATGAACAGTTATCATGGTATAGTACATGTTTTATTCCCACGATATACCAGTCTTGCGCGTTCACGGGCGAAGAAAAGAGCTCAAGAGTTGTGTTAACAATAAGATAAGCTGGAAATCTTGAAAGCAGATCAATGGCCAGCCATCGCTCATTTAATATCCCAGGACTTTTAAACTCAAGGTTCTCCGCATAGTAAGATAATTCCTTCGATTATTTGCAACAAACAAACACTTGATGCTGTAGCTTCAAATCGCGAACCAATTTGTTCCCCGTCACTGTGAAGTATTTACTTTTAAATTAAAGTAAATAATTTTAAATAATTCTGACGGAAGTGCAGACATTTCGTCGATCGTGTTTAATGGTCAGATTCTAATGAGAGGTAGTAGGAAAATAAATAAAAAAAATCAGTAGCGTTTCTCCGTCTCAAGTTCAATTTATTCGAATGCCAGACCAACAATTTTCGGAAACTACTGAAGTGAACCCGGGTCTGTTATCCCAGTACCTGAGCAAGATGACTGGACACATCGTGCGCAGGTACGAGTGCGCTGGTGGTGTCACATATCATGCAGCTTTTCGCGCGAACATCAGCATACTCAAACATCATATTGGCCATGCAGCCTAAAATATATACAGTAAAGTAAATACATAAATATGCACGTGAACTCACTCATACTTTGATGGAGAGAAACGCAGGGAAGCTGTCGGTTTTCGACAGCGGAGGGATTTAAAGACTCTGACGTCTGTCGGTTTATCTGCAGTTCGACTCGGGGGAAAAGCGGATCCCGGCCAGGATTTTGGCTGGCGGCTGTGACGTCAATTGGGATCCGGGTGATATTGTCGGATTTTTTTTTTCCCTAGGCGCAAGGCTAGTATGGTTGTCGGTGCGCATCAAAACTGTTTGGACTTGGTCTGATATTTGTGAGACGCAGGAGGTCACGTTATTGTGAGTCGTTGAAACGTCTGGAATGCGGAAAGTTTTCGCGGAAATATCTTGGGGGCGCGCGGATGAGTGATTGGTCGTATTATAGCGTCACCTACTTGCAGAAGGAGCAAAACGGGCTCCTGGTTTTGCAACGTCATCCGCATCAACAACGACATTTGTGCTACAGTATAGTGAAACCGCAATCGTCTTGTTGGATTGTACTGATGTATGAGAAAGGTTTGTTTCCTGCTGATAGTTTAAATATTGATCCCGATTTCTGGAAAATATTTTTATGACTAATCAAGAAAACATTTGCATCCTTCAATGGAGGAAATTGTAAATGTCTCGAACAAGTTATTAGAGTTGAAAATTACAAGGAGAAACTTATTATTATGAAAAAGCGCTCATGGGCCTTAAGAATAAGCTCTACGCTGAGCAAGTGTCATTACGCACTGCGACAGGTGAATTACAAAATTCGCGATGAGCCGATTTATGTAAATTACGACTGCATTATAGTAGGTTCACTGAATTCGTTGAAAGTGATGTTGGAGGGCGACACGTTCCCATTGATGGAAATTGCGAATTGTGTACAAGACTCCTCAATTGGTCGTCATCAATTGTACAACGTTTCCCGAGCAACCAAGGATGTGATTCAAGCTCTCGCAGCTTCAGGAATGAATTTAAATTCCCAACAAGACGGTACTACTGTACTATATTTATATGCGTGTCAAAGTAAGTTGTGAATTTCTTAAGTTTTCAAGGGCTGCTAAATTTTTTTGCATAACACTTTGAAGGACATCGAAATCGTTCGCATTGATTCCGTGTAGACTTCAAAATGATGGTTTTATTTGCCGTAGAGTGACGAAGGTCGAAGGAACATCGTGATCAGTTGCATGGCGAAGAATGCTATAATATAGCTATTCCTCAATAAATGCAAGGAAAATATTTTAGATTTGCGAAACAAGTATGTGGCTGATGTCAAGAAAATGGACAAGACATTTTCTGTAGATGCTTTGTTCTCTGTTGAACAACAGGTGAAGATTTTTTCTATTTCCTGAAAAAAAAAATTTCTGTGCAGACACTGCTGACGTAGCGTCTGAAATATTCCAGGTTCATGCCATGAGTGAGAATTACGTCCATGCGGCCGAAGAGATCTTGAAAGCGAAGCAAGCCGAATTGTTAAATGTGAAATGATTTCGCAGTCTGCGGAATTAGTTCTGCTAAGGATGCTGTCGAAATCTATGGAATTTTTTCAACGCCCTTCGCGTGCCAGCAACGCGCATTGATTACAGTATTGTTTCTGGGACAGGGATAAAAAAAAACTCTAACGTTTGACATCTGTTTATTTCTTTATCGTTCATAACTAAAGTAAGGGACACTTTGCTCGTGAGATGTCGTCTGCTTGCATTGCGTAAAGATGTATTGAAAAAGAAAGTACAGTACTCGCATCAACAGCCAAAACCTGATGACCAGCTCTCCTGGCCAGTATTGTTACCGTTTTTCCAGCGAAATTGTCAGAATCTTGTACGGAAAATCTTAATTGATACTCTCCAGTACATGGAGCCTACCCTGTGGAATTGGAAGTGCTCTTTGGAATTTCATATCCCCTATAATAAAGTTACTTGCGTTCGTAAGTGTGTGGGACCTCACCTCTCTTACTTTTTACTTAGGGCTATTTACGAAATCCGAACTCCCTCCCACAGAGCCCCCAGTGAGGCCTGCAGGAGGTTCCCGTTTCCCGGCGTCTTGCCTTTCAAAATTTGGCAAAAAATGAATTTTGAAGCAAACTTCATTTTGAAAATGGTATAAGCAGCGCCATGATGTTTCCTACATTTCCTTTTTTTAAAGTTTGAAAAAGCTTCAAAATTCACAAAGTTACAGTGAAAAGCGCAAAACATTTTTCAAAAACGGGGATAAATCGGAAAAAAACACTTTTACATTTGTAATTTTAGCTTTTCGAATTTTTCATTTTGATCCATCAAAAAAATATGAAAATTAGCAAAACATCTATGCACATTCACTCCTAAATTATGAATAACATTGCATTAGTGAAAAAAAAGTTATCATGAGCTAAACACAAAAAAACGGACATTTTTGAAAATTCCGTTTCCCGTTTTGCCAACTTGAAAAATTTGGCCAAACTGCAATTCTCAAAATAACTTGATTTTTAAAATTTCATCAGCAGCGCCATGGTGTTTTCCACATTTTATCATTTTTAGTTTTGAAAAAACTTGAAAATTGACTGAAATAAAATGAAAAACACAAAAACTTTTTTGAAAATTCTATGAAAATTGGGAAAAAAGTTTTTATGCTTTGAATTTTATCTCAGTCAATTTTCAAACATTTTCCAAATACAAAAAAATCTTAAAATTGTAAAACATCTGTGTGCAAATAACACCACAAAAAGGTTTGAAATTGCATGAAAAGTTAAAAAGTTAAAATGAGCTGAACTGAAAAATAAGTTCCCTTACATGCTTTACTTCCCATTTTGCCCACTTTACATATTTGTCAAAAATTGAATTTTTGATCAATTTTGAACATGGAAATAAATAGCACCATAGGACCCTCAGGGTCACAAGTAAGGTATTGAGCACAATCAATCAGTCACCTTGAACATGTGACCTATTCTTAACTAGAAAATACTCATGAATCTTTCTAAAACCTTGCAAAGCAGCTGGGCACTCAATCTGGTACAGTACATAA